CACTCTAGACAGTCCCTTAGTTTTGATGGTTCTTATTTTTACCATGATGGTTTTGATGTTAATGAAAATGGTAGTCAAAGAAAATGAGAATATCTATTAATTATTGAACTCTTCTATGTGTCAAGCACTATATTAGCACCATGCAATTTTGGATATTGTGAGGTAAGGATTTTCCTATTATTTCCATTGAAAGCCAAGAAACTAAGCTTTGTCATTTTAAGGAACATGAAAGTGAATCTCAACCTCTTCAAACCTCTTCCTACCTGGTTTTAAGTGCTCATGAGTGTGCACTGCATGAAGCTTCAGAGAGGCAGGCCCCATGCTCTTCATTTTGAACTTAAGATAGCAACTAAAAGGTTGTATCTTTGGACGTGTGGGAGAACATCATCTTTCCAGGCTGAATGGAGATCCACTTTTAGATGGATGCTTATTTCAGAGACTGCCCCCCTCCTACTTAATAAAGGGGAGTCTTCCCATAGCTCAGCTTCTCTTCCCAAGTGGCTCACTGAGATTCTAGGCAAAGGGCAACACCTAGAAGGAATTTCTTGGCGTGTCTGTCATGTAGAAGGTACTGAATTCTTGCCAAGTTCTTTACTTCTTTTACCCCCTAGGAATAACACTGCCCCCACCCCTTTTTATTATCCTTTGCCCTTTCCTCTGCTCCTAATGGGGAGTGTAGACTCACCTGTCTCCCCTCTGCAGATTGTTCCCCATCCTGGCAGTCTTACCACTTCCTTCGTTGTGCCTTCTCCTCTGACAGGCAGCTCCAGACTTGAAGGAGCGGCTGTGTAGCTCTGGCCTCTTGTACCCAGAGCTGAAAGGAGAAGGGCATCAGCAGAGGGAGGAAGAGGCTAGGGAGGAGCATTGGAGGCACACATGTGAAGAATGCCATAAAGGTCACAGTCTTTCGGCACTGGGCTATTTAGCCATTACAGCAAACCTGCTGGTCACCAAGAGCTCTGAGCCCTGGGGAACCCCAGACTACAATTCCAAATGGCTCATGGAAGTTTTCCCACATGACAAACCTACATTTATTAAATCACTTTGTTCTTGAAAAATCCCAAGGGGAACTTTGTTTCAAAGAGACAAGGGGACAGCAAAGAGTTAAGCCACAGACTAAAAATAGAATGTATAAAGGACTTTTGAAACCCACTTGTGAGAAACAAAAACACCTAACAAAGAAATGGGTAAAATATTTGATTCTTTACTAAAGCCACTATAAGGCAATAAATAAATATGTGAAAAGGTATCACAAGATACCTTTATACAGAATGGTTAACGTTGGCAGCAAAAACAGACGGCAAGTTCCAAGTGGTTACAATGAATGCAGAAAACTAGTAACTAGTCATTGACACTGGTAATGTAAAATGACACAGTCCTTTGGGAAACCAATCTGGCGGTTTTATGTACAGTCAGAGATAGGCTTTTCATACAGGCCAGCAATCCCTCTTGAAGGCATTTCTCCAATGCCTGAATAGCTGAACAAGCCATGCCGCATCCATGCTGACCAGCAGTAATAAAGAGCTAATGCATGCATGAACTTGGATGAATTTCAAGTGCATTATGCCAAGTGAAAGAAGCTAGGTTTAAAATTAACCTTTTGTGACTTTTAGGATAAAGCAAAACCATAAAGAGAGAAAACATATGAGTGTTTGGCAGGAGCAAGTTGTGGGGGAGGACCAGACTTTCAAAGGGAAGAAGGGAATTTGTAGGGTACTTTTCCCTTGGTTGTAATAGGGATTGCCTGTCCTGATGAGGACAGAACTTTAGTCTACAAAGGGTGGGTTACCTTCATTTTGATTATATTTCAATAGGCAAGAGGTTAAAA